GCTCGATTCTCAGAAGTTACAAACCTAACTGAGCCGGATTCATCGATTTTAGTTTCTCCGCTTATTTCTAAAAATCCCTGCCAAGGCCAGGGCAGCCTTCACTCTGACGTGCGGGCAGGACAGACGCCCCGGTTTCAGACGGAAAACGCCCGGTTTTGCTTTGTCACGCACAGAGAGGACATTCCCGCAGCACAGGGGACGAATAAGCAGCAGGAAAAAGAATACAACAGAAAGAAAAAACAGAAAAATGTCAAAGCGTTACGTGACAATAACCGCCCCTGCAGTACCTGTTGAAAGTGTTCAACACGAGGACAGCGCCAAACCGCATTTCACGAGCAGCGTGGAAGCTGGAAGGGTTTTCTAACAATATGAATACCTGAAATTTATTACTTTTAATTCGCAAATCAGTAAATGATTAAGGAAAAATGGTCGAACGAAAGATAATCCATAAACAGGTGCTTCGATTAATACGACAATGAAAAGTAAAATAACCAAGTTCGAGTATTAAAGGTAACCGGGGGGCCAAGTTCATCATCGTTTCATCTTCATCGTTGAGGGTGATTCTAATTGCGAGTGAACGATAAAAGCACTATGGGTACCCCAATTCAAACCCCGAATCTCGGGGACCTCCCCGCGTATGTAGATTTATTTCCCGAGCTGTTGGGACGCTCCTGCGCTCGGAGAGACCCGGTCGGTCCCGTGAGTCGGGATCAGCCGCTTGGTCCCGGTGGCGCTCCGGACCGGGAAGGGCCGGGCCAGGGACAGGCCAGGGACACAGCGACAGGCCGGACCCGCCCAGGACCTGCGCCACCGGCCGGCTCCTCGGAGCTCTGCTTTCAAATAACATAGCGGCGCAGGACAATTGCCCTCGAACTCAGGCTGATCATTAATTTCGCGATTAGCGCCCTGTGGAGCGGGGCCGAGAACGCAGGACGTGGGATTTGAAACGACGCCCGAGACATCTAAAGCGTCACACGAATGAACCGCTTAGTTCTCCTCGGCAGTGGACCGCAGGCTGCGGTCCGACGCTGTTCGAACTTCCGGGGTCAAGTTCCTCCTCCAAACTGGGCTCGCGGGTCTTTTGGCTCGAGGGTCAGCGATGACCCCCGTTCCTCGCGGCGTGGCGCTCCCCCGTGGCTCCCTCCTGCTCACGGCGCCCACGGAGCCCCAGCGACACCGCGCCCCGCCCAAGCCTTCGCGACCGTCCCGCCGAGTTCAGGACTCGCTTTCCCGTGGTTCAACCCCAGGCTTCACACCGGCGTGGGGTTAAACCCTCGTCAGGGCCCACGGCACCCAGGACAGGGGAGTGTGCGTGTCGGAATAATACTTCGTGATAATAATGTGATAATACTTCGGGCACAAGGGACGTTTTCAGAAGCACCTACCGGCGCGAAGACCAAGCACTTGTGCCAAAAAAAAAACACGACACTAAAAAAATATTCGGACACGAGTGGCATGTGATCTGGGCCGGGCGCGCGGACAGTGCGGTCACGCTCACTGCAGCGCGAGTCTTCATTAACGCCTAACTGGCCGGAGATGTTCTCCAGCCTCCCGTGTATCCCCCAGGGTCATTCATTAACAGCGCTGTAATTAATCCCTCACTCCGACACCCCGGCGCTACCGGGGAGAGGCGGGGTACCGTCCCCCCAGAACACACAGTGCGCGTACGGGGTTCCCCCCCCCCCCCAAGAACAAGACACAGTAGGGGTACAAAGTCCACCGCCTGAACCCCTCGGTAGCGCCCCCGGCACCAACACGAAGCCGGGAGCGGGGAAAAACCGTGCGTGACACGATCCACGCTTGAGGTGAGAGCACACGCACACGCACAGAAGAGGCGATGAGACGGGCGGAGCAGAGCAGACCGGACAGACTGGGTGTGACACAACAGCCGGTTACGTGACGCACGAAGGGGATTTGATGTGACGCCGATTTACACCTGACGTCACGTCTCGCCCGTCCTGGACCCCATTAGATCACAGACCCGTGTGCGCGCCGGTGGGGGGTCGGACGACCTGCGCGTGAAGCTCAAGGTGCAGACGAGTGTCGACGAGGGAGCCGAATTAATCGCACGCGTGGGTCGCAGGTGGGCGCGTTATTTCACATTCGATGAGCTCGACACCAAGGCGCGAAATCCGGTTTCGGAGTCCACGTGATGAGTATGGCAAAACTGAGCAGCCGTCGCCGGAACCCGTCCGAGCTCCTCAACTGGACTGACGCGAGTCTCGCCGTCTTCCAAACACGACATGCTTCCTTTCTGGAAGGACCTCGGGACACAGGGACACGGGGGGTGTTCCGCGACGCGCACGTCAGGGAAGTTGAGGGTGTCTCAAGACGGAAACCAGGCGGCTCCGTGGCCGCTCGGAACGAAAAGTCAAAACAGCACAGGAGAGGACTGCGCTGGGAAAAAACCCGAACTGAATGTCTCTTCAGTTCTTTATGCTGTAAGAATGTTGGAGGAAAATAGTCTGTTTCATATCAAGGACAGAAAAGTCCACATGATCCTCAAATTGAAACAGTCCTATCTTTCTAACAGACGAATTAATCATTTTTTGTTGGTCACTAATCATGAATATCTCATAATGCAGTAGTATTGATCAAATTAATCATATTATCGCAGTGCAGAGAATCATTCCCCGTTTCTTTGGGCCCTGTAAAGAGTTCGGGAGGCGAGGCGGCGGCCCGCACAGCTGGAAGGGGGGTATTTTACCTTGAGCGTCTCGTTTATCCCTGCTCTCTCTCTCTCCTGGGTGAGGGGGTCCGTGTCTGTGCGAGAAACAGGAGCGAATTCCTCTTCCTGTGCCTGTAGCTCGGGCTCGGCGGCTGGCCCCGCACACATACACACACACGCACACAGCCGGCTCTGTCCGCCGCGGCTCGGACCCGTGGACTGGGCACCAGTCCCCGGTGAGCTGGTCAGGACTGCGAGGCCGTCGACAGCGGGCCGGAGCGGGACTCGACACCCCGGGCCGCGGCCTGCCCGCACGGCCAGGCCATGTGAACGGCGGAGCTTCGAGTGAGGAGGATCCGTTTCACCGGGCGGTCGGCTTGTCGGCTGCCCACCGCCCCCATTCTCGCTCGTGTCTCCGTGCAGAAGCGGGGAACACGCCCGGCGGTTCTTCTACATCGGTTACGATTCGCCTGCGAGCCACAGACGCCAACTCGGGGACATAATCCCGGCCCATCGCTGCGGTGTGCGCAGTGCCCTCCGGTCTGTCTCCTGCAGAACGGGTCCGGCACCTGGGCAGACTCTGCCTGCGGACTGCACGACCTGGACATTTTGGGCTTTTAAATAGCAACCTGGCTTGTTTTGTTGTGCTTGGAGGGGCGTCACTAACACAAAGAGCGCCTAGACGGAAATAATTACCGCCGGTGTCTTCTTCCCAAAATTCCGGAAGTCTCTGAGCGACCTCTGGTCCACAGACGGGACGTGTCCGGTGGGCTGTTTTGGAAAAGGGGGCCCCGCTTTTCCCCAAAAAAGATTTTTCCAAGTAGGGAGCTGGGTCGGCATGCACAGGCTGCAAAGGAACAAGTCGATGTCTATTCCTGCTGAAAAGAGAAGAAAAACACAACGTTTCGGCTGTGGAGTCTTCTCTGGGTGCGACGCCCTCAGGTGTCTCTTTTCTCCTCTTGTCAGCGTGGAATAAACCTTCACTTGTTATTGAGAGCCCAACACAGTTGAGCCTTGCGTGTCCAGTATTCACTGACCCCTGTGTGTGTGTTCAGTATTGTATTCACAGACCCCTGTGTGTGTTCAGTGCTCACTGACCCCTGTGTGTGTTCAGTGCTCACGGACCCCTGTGTGTGTGTTCAGTGCTCACTGACCCTGTGTGTGTGTCCAGTATTTACTGACCCTGTGTGTGTGTTCAGTATTCACTGACCCCTGTATGTGTGTTCAGTGCTCACTGACCCCTGTGTGTGTGTTCAGTATTCACTGACCCCTGTGTGTATGTTCAGTGCTCACTGATCCCTGTGTGTGTGTTCAGTATTGTATTCACAGACCCC